AATATTAACTAACTAGCGAATACCCGGCGTGCTTCGCTGCGCCTTAAAAGTAATTTTGTTTTGTTACTCCCTCTCACAACATTTGAAAATATTAGTTAATATTGCTGTACATATTTGTATAGTAGGGAGATTTTTTCAAATTATATAAATATACGTTATTTGAATATTGAATCAATACACGTTTGAGGAAAGGGTGCGATAGTAGACTACAGTTATAAGATTATAAATTAAATTTCCAAGAGAAAGTCGGTTCTTTACATATTTTCTAATTACCTTCGAAAATATATTAACTCAAAAAAAATAAAATAAACAATGCTTCATAGATCGATTTTTTTTAAATCTAACTTCATAAAGTTCTTTAAAAATATTTTGTAAATGAGGCCATAAGAGCTTAGGGGGAGAGTTACAACACAAAAATACATTTAAGGCGCAGCGAAGCACGCCGGGTAATTGCTAGTACATACAAATATTTCGTCCGCATACGACTCATAGTGTTTAGACTATATGGAGGCAGGTAGAAAAAAGTCATGGTGTCAGTTGATAAAAGAACCGGTTGAGCTTAGAGAGAGAAAAGTAAAGTCCTAAATACAAAATTTCACATAATTTACTCACTCACCACACCCCCCGCCCCCTTCGCTCTCCACGAACGGTACATTTCTAAAAAAATACTCGAATCGACTAATCAGCTTAGTTGCCTTTGGCGCTTAACCCATTAAAGCAAGTGTTTCTTTTTCATCTGTAATCAATTACTTAAGTGTTGTGGATAATTCTGGTGAAGGTATTTAACATAAATTTAGTATTTTCCTTTAAAAAAAAAAAAAAAATGTGAGTACCGGTCCGTCAGGTTTTGAAATTACACGCATATTTTAGTTTTCGAATATATAATTGGATCTTTTCGTGCGACTTTACAAATATGTATATGTAATTTTCGATTTTCGTAATTTTTGATTTTTAGTTTCTTTTTGCATAATTTCGCGAGCAGAATTTTACGAACAATGGAAAAATCTCGCCAAACATTTGAAGAAAAGAGAATATTTACACCTATGTAATTTAAAAGTATAACCTTTGTTTTCTGAGAGTGTAAAGCAGGAAACGAACATTAACCAAAATTCCATCACATTTAATGGCTGAGCCCACATTTTTTGTGAGTTTTGGGACGTTAAAGTGATCCAATTGTGTCCATATTTTATATTTAGGGTTTTCTAATAAAAGCGAGAGTACAAACTAAATTTCATCGAAATCGGATTAAATTTAATGTTTCCGCCCGCAATAATGGAGTGCGTGGCAATTATTCCATCTTTACCAAATTTCAGAATACCCTAATTCTAAGTAAAATTAGAGCACATATCTAGTGGAGGTTCGCTATTATTTTCACAAAAAAAAAAACAAGTAAGTCGGTTGACTATTTTGGGCGTGAGAGGGATACATACACTTGCATAACTTAGATATGTAGATAGACAAATTGATTGTAACCGCGAACAGTAGGTATATTGTGTCTCGGCTCATCACAACACTACATCTAACTCTAAAGACTTTATAAATTTCAGAATAGATCCCGGGGTAGAGAGTTTATGTGCTCTTCTCTTGTTCATATATCGCACACCGCCTTCAAAAGAGTCACAACTCAAAATAATACGTTCGTCAGAAAATGCGAAAAACTATTTCTTAGCACATGATAATCATATGGGAAAGGGCGACTTTACCTTAGGTTTTTTTAGGAAATTATAAAAAAGATTTGCTCCAGCGTTTGCTGAAAGGTAAATAAAAGCTCTGCGGACATTTTTTGCGCATAATCTCAAAAATGCACAATTTTTAGTTGTGGCTCTTTTGAAGATGGTGTGCGATATGTCTCATGCACCTCTAATAATAAACAAGGCTGACTTCCAAAACGTATCAATACAATGTTTGGATACTGTTATACTACGGTATTCAAACTGTTTATATACGCAGAGTTACGACACATTGCAACCAGATACATTGCATATTTTAAATTTTGAATATAGCAATGAACAATTTTTCTGAATTTTCCATTTTTAAAACACCAATGGTAACCAATAACAAACGAAGCATCAACTTTGTTTCTGATGCGCTGATTGCTCAAGCGCTGCGTTTCGATAACTTTTCGGATGCGTTTTGGAAAAGTATACATTGTCAATATTTTGTAGTTCGGCGTTATGGGAACATTATACTTTGTACGTATGCAAAGCAATTGACGTTTTGGAAGTCAGCCCAAGTCTTACAAACTACCTTTCCTACTGTGTTTCAATTGTCTTACAGAAGACTTTCAACTATCTCAGCTAGATTTGCAATCTAATAAGGAGATAATAAAAAGTTGAGAGGAGCCATGAATTGGATCATAATTTTGCTGTCTTAAAAAGTTTTTAACTGAAATTATAAGAACTTTACTGCTCTTCTTTTTTTTTCTTCTTATTTGGCGTTGTAACCGCCTAAGCGGTTTTTGTCGAGTTCAACAAAGCACGCCAGCTGTTTCTCTTCTGTGCCAATTGACGCCAATTGGAAATCCCAAGTCCTTCTTCATCGCAGTGGAAGCCTCCCTCTTCCTCGGCTACTACCAGCGGCTTCCGAGCTGAAAACTTTCAAAGCGGAATCCATTTGAACGACACGGCCGAGCCCGCGGGGCCGTTGTATTTTAATTCGTCGTTATGCCGTTGTAAAACTCATACAGCCCATCGTTAAACCGTCTGTGGTAAAATTTTTCTGTGGAATACTCCAAGAGCCGCCTAATCAGATGTTGTCATTGTCCATGCTTCTGCGCCATATATCAGCACGGGCATGAAGAGTGACTTATAGAGTGTGGTTTTCGTACGTCGAGAGAGGACTTTACTCCTGAATTTCCTACTCGGTCCAAAGTATCACTTGTTGGCAATAGTGATTCTGCGTTGAATTTCTATGCTGTAATTATTGTAATAATTATCGGTGTTAATGCCGGTTCCCAAGTAAACGGAACCGAAATTATAACTGTCAACAGTGATGTAGGTGTCTAGGCGCGAATGCGCTGACTATTTGTTTGATGACAGGAGATACTTCGTCTTGTTCTCGTTGACCACCAGACCCAATCGCTTTGCATCCTTATCCAGCTTGGAAAACGCAGAAAAGACTTCGCGGTTCTTGTTAGCGATGATGTCGATGTCATCGGCGTACGCCAGCAATTGCACGCTCTTGTAACAAATTGTTCTTCTCTAACATTAGTTTGGTAGCAAACGGCTCGGAGAGGTCTTTCCCAATTCTAACGGAGCTGGTGGTATTTCTCAACGTCATTTTACACAGCCGTATCAGTTTCGCGGGGATGCCGAATTCAGACATCGCGGCGTAGGCGACTCCTTTTAGTGTTATCGAAAGCGGATTTGAAGTCGAAAAATAGGTGGTGAGTGTCGATCCTTTTCTCGCAGGTCTTTTCCACGATTTGATGTATTGTGTATACCTGACCTATGGTGGATTTGCCAGGTCTAAATCTACACTGATAAGGTCCAATCAGTTCGTTGACGGAGGGCTTCAGTATTTCACACAATACACTCGATAAAACCTTGTAACCTATGCTTAGAAGGCTGATCCCGCGTTAGTTGATGCGTTTGGCGGGGTTGCCTTTCTTGTGGATTGGGCAGAGCACTCTTAAATTCCAGTCGTCGGGAATGCGTTCATCTGACCATATTCTGCATAACAGTTGACGCATATACCGCCGTACTTGAATAGCTCAGCTGGCAGGCTGTCAGCTCCAGCAGCTTTATTGTTTTTCAAGCGTGCTATTGCTATTCGTATAGTCATATAGTGGTGGAACATCGACTCCATCATCATCGACTGGGGGTTCTACTAAAAATTTATTAAGTACCAAAACGTTTTCGCTGGTATTCGAGTACGAGTTCTCGCAGAGTTCATGCTATTCAAATAACTAGACGATAATTTTAATACCAGGTTGGTAATACTAAAAACTAGAAAATACAACAAAATTCTCCAACATTTTCTAACAAAAATTGCTTAGTTTTCTAACTCTTTCGAAAGCATTTTTTCCCACCCTCAGACACCTTCGGGGCACATCTTCTTCCCACCGCGAAAGTGTTTAACAAGAAATATGGTTTTAGCGCGCCATTTAACACACAGCGGTGTGTCCTTGCCGTAATTTTCTCGACGCTGTTACTCGTATTTGCTGTTTGTGTATTAATTTGAAAGAGAAAAGGATTAAAATGTATTGCCACATGCAAACCTGCCGTCGCATATCACTTTTTTATTCTAATTTTGCTGTCGTTACGTTTTAAGCGTATTTGTATTTCTTATTGTTTTTGTTTTGTTTTGTTTTGTCTGTTATCCGCTGCCGTTAATCTACTCACATTACAAGGTAATTTGTTATAAAATAATGCAAAAGTAAAAAGAAATACAATTACAAATAAATGTTATAGACCGAAAGAAAGAGTTTAATTTGCCCCCCTCTAAAATGAGTGCGACGCAATTGCGGGGAATCGAAAAACAAAAGAAAAAAAAAACAAAAAAAATATCTAGTGGAGTGTTTATTGCCACGAACGCTACATGACGTCGCCGTGCGGCAAGTAGACTGAATGTCGCATGCTTGCAGCTAGTGGTGCAATCGCCGTCGCTCCGACGTTTCATCTGACGTGTGCGGCATAAAAACCGCACTAATGCCACATTTGCATGTTTGGCCAAAGCACATGCAACATCAGCGATCAGCGGACTCTAGCTTACATACATACATATATATATATATATATATAAATGTATGTAAGTGGCATTGTCAATGGCAAACAGACCGTCTGCAACACCAAATATCCCTGCCACCAACCAACGGCGCGGCACAACCAACCAACCAACTCGCAGCTGCCCCTACGCTTACGCCTCACATACACACATATGCACTTTCATAGGGAATAAACTATTTCTACTTTTTTACTACACGTACTTATGTATGTATTCAAATATTTATTTGGCCTGTGTACATACCTGCCGGTTTTGGTGATAATCATCTCGGTGCCCAGCTCATGAAAGCGATCCCACAATTCTTTTGTCTCCAAATGACATTGCACCGGCTTCAGTTCATCACAATTGCAGGAGCCCACAATTTTCGGCGTCTTCTGCGGCGGCTCGGGTGTGAGACGTTCCTCCGTGTCGGTGCCGGGCGATTGGGGAGGTGTAGAACGACCCTGACTGCTGGTTGTACTGCTATTCAGATGATTCTGCGATGAGCTGCTATTATTGTGGTTATGACTATTACTATTGTTGTTGTTGTTGTTGTTGTTGTTATTGCTGTGACTGTGGCTGTGGCCATGATGGTGACTATTGTTGTGATGTAGGCGGCGCACCTTGGCCGGTGGTGGTTCTTCTGAATCGCTGCAATCAACCACATCAACATCCACTTCATCTTCCACGGAGATGGGACCTATGCAATGGGTGAGAGGTGGGAGAGAAGAGAAGAGCAGAAAAATTAGATGTGAATACGACAGAGGCATCTGAAATGGCAACTAGGTCAAGAAAGTAGGTTAAAAACTACAATAAGTATGTTGTCATTTAAAATATGTAGCAAATTCCGTTCAGTTGTGATAGATGTATACAATGTTGCTGCAACATGTTGACGCGCGTTCGCGAAATAGCTGCTAAAAAAGAGTGAAATTTATTGCTGCTGCTTTATAATGCCAACGCAAATTAATTGTAATTATTTAGCACCAGTAACAATGTTTATGAATGTGTTTGTAAATATATGTATAAGTCTTTGTATTTGTGCAGCCATATTACACATTACTTGATAATTTATTTCCGTTGCGCTTGAAAATTTCACATTAACCTAATCGTTTAATTTTCACACTTTTTCTTGTATTTTGCTTTATTTTACGGCACAGCAGCGAAAAATGTGCGCCGTCAAGTAATGATTACTCGACTTTAATTACTTAGTAAATTGTCAAGTGTAGCAACATTTCAAGCCAACAACTGCACTTGTTGCTGTCATATAAAATTCAATTATTTATAATTGTGCTAAATGCAGCGGCAACGACAAAAAAACAACAAAAATCACAAATAGCTGCATACATAGTATACAGTGCATACAGTGGCAGCAGCAAAAACAAAATAAGCCAAGCCAACTTTACGATAATTATTGTTGTCATTTTTTGTTTTTTTTTGTTTTGTTTTGTTATGCGCGTGTTGCAACTGCAAGTACATATGCAGTGGCAATAGCAATCTGGTCGCTTGGTGCACATATGTATGTATATGTCATATGTGTACAGGAAATATGTGTTGTACATTAGGGTGGTCCAAAAATGCATATGAAAAAGTAAAGTCGGAACTTGTATGCTCTCACCCCCTAGGATTGTTTTGAAATAAAAAAAATATTTAGAGGTCGCTCAAAGCGCCCAAAGTTTTCCATGTATTTTATATGAGGGAAAACAACTTTTCGTAGATATGGTATAGAATAGTTAAAAATCAATATTTTTCTACCAGAGACCTCTCTTTATTTGCAGGAGATTCCCCACAATAATACCCAATTGCTTATTTAACCATTTTTTCATTGCAACTATAATTTATAGGTCCGCCAAAAACCTCGAAAAATGCAATGGGGTGACCAATTAAAAACCGTTAGTATTAAAAAATGGCTAAATAAACAATTGGGTATTGTTATTGGAAGTCTCCTGAAAAGAACCAGAGTTTTCCGATCGAAAAATATTGACTTTCAAGAATTCTATACCATTTCTACGAAAAAATTTATTTTTGCCATATAAAAATACATTGAAAACTTTGAGCGCTTTGAACGACCTCTAAATATTTTTTGATTTCAGAATAAAACAGTAGGGGTGAGAGCATTACAATTCCGACTCTATTGTAATGCATTAGATTAGATTAAAAAAAGTATACCTACGTTCAAAAGAGCACAATTTTCTGTTGTTGTTGATTTGTAGGTATTTCAATGATTTGTTATTTGCGTTGTTAACAGTTTTTTTAATTGAGAAAAAAGTAAGCCATTTGCATAAGCTTTTAGCTCGACTATTTATTTATTTGTGTTGAGGACCGTTAGAGCAGAAACTAACTAAGAAGTAATGAAATAGGAAAAAGTATGCAAATATCTCCAGGATTTGTCTTCAAGACGACAGACAAAAAGAGCATCCTGACCATACATGTTTTCCCAAAAGCTCGCCTACTGATCCTTTCTTGGACTTTTTCTCGATGTTATGCCTGAGTACTTTTTCGAAACACTAATAATTGTCATAAATACAGATAAAATTTGCAGCCTCCATTGTTGTTTTCAAAGCCCTAGTTTCACTTTAAACCCTAAATTTGTATTTTTCTTCATTGCCTTGCAAAATTTCACAGGAACGTTCTATGTTGAGCTTTGGTAACAGCAAACAGAAATTGATACTTTTCAGAACGTCTTTGGAATACCACGTCTTCAATTCTTCTCTTGTATGGTATTTATGCAGGAACTTTATGGTACTCTTCATACTTTGGGAAGGATGATTGTTTTGATTACTTTGGCGAGGGCAAGTTCTGTTTTTTTTTCCAATTTTGTAACTAACTTTGTGGCATTTGGAAAATTTCTACATGGGTTCCTCAAATGGTGAGTCTTTCGGCGTCTAATGCCTTCGGAAGAACGATATGTTTGAAAAGTCACACTTAGTGGCTACGTTAATATTAAAATATCATTGAAGCAGAAAACACCAATAAGAAATTAAAAACGCACGCTGACCAAATTTGACGCCTTCGCTGCATTTCCCTTCACTTATGCGCTTTTATCGGTGGCCATGCGAATTCTGCAAGGACGACAGTTAATTGAATAATGGTGCATGATTATGATTAGGATTACGAAATGGGGTTATCCAACCTATGAGAGAAGCATGTCGTCTCAGGGTGTTCGATTATTTCGACCTCCCTCGACCCTCCCTCTACTCCTACCTGGCTACGACTATGCTTGCCGCCGTAGCCAAGTCCTTAGTTGTAAGTGAAAAAACCCAGTTTGTTCAATAAGAAAGTCCGGTTTAGTTGATATTCGAAAAATCATGATTTAAAAAAACCGCCTATAGATATAAAAAAAAAACGGGGGAAACCGATTTGGAAAAACCAAGTCAATCAACCTAGTTAGTACCTATCGCAACGCATTTCTCACCGTTTAACTCCACATCTTTCATTTCTTTTAAGACTAACTGTCGTTTTTCACCAACATATTGCGTTTAAAGGTAACAACTCCCTAGTTTAAAAACAAAAGAGTTCGCCAATTAGAAGGAATTCGAAGATTATTTTGATCTATTGTCCTTGCTCTCGATGCTTTTTTTTATACGTGCTGTCTTTTGAACCTCTTGAAATAAGATTGCCAGTGATAAAGGAAAAGTTTCTGAGTCCATCTTTAAAAATTTTACGAGAGAGGGAAAGCTTTCTAAATATAGCCATTTTATTCAAGATTATTTGTGGCGGAAAATGGTTTTATTATTTCTAAAAATGGTCAATGGTGATCAATACACGTTTGGATCCGTTGGAGCCAATTTTCGAATCAATACACACGAGCTTATTTTGGAGCGTTTTTTTTTAATTGTATGGGATACAACGCGAACACATCTTTTTTACCACAAGGTGATCATGCAAAATCTTATTGATGATCGTCATACTAATGCCCGAGAATACCTATAGCGCTTCGTACACAAGACTACGCAAACCATACCCGACGATTTTAGTCTTTAAGCGACTACCGCAATACAAATTCGTAGAGATTCGTACACAACACTATGGTGTGGCAGCTACTATTTGCTGGCCAAAAGTCATTTTTTAAAATATCAATAAATAATTTTTTTTTTGTCCACTCACTAAACTAATGCTCTAGAGTAAAAAAGTGCATACACATTATTTTCTGAAAGAGTTTTCCCGTTGAGATATCAGCTGTTAAATTTGGCATTCCTATAAAAAAGTTTACATATTTCTTTCTTTCGGAGTCAGCATTCTTGTGGTTCGAATTGGAATAAGTCTTCGAGTGCTAAAGGCACTTCAAAAAAGAGAATGGAAATGATTAATGAAGGTAACATTTGTGTGATCAACAAAAAAGAAAACTAACATATAGCATGCAAAATAAAATAAAATTAATTTTGAAAATGGGCTCTAATTTAAGTAATAATATTACAATTTAAGTAGAGCTATAAAAAATTGGTTTCATTTGGTGGTCTTCAAGCTTTGTGGGCAATACAAATATTCAATTTAAAGTTTTTAGGCTGAGAATAATGTTGCACTTTCTTGCTTTTTTTTCTTAGAAAACTCCTACGTGTATTTTGCCGTGCTTTTCGATATTTCAAAAGAAGCAGTCAGCTGAGATGCAAACAAACGCCGTTTTAAACTTTTTGCTGCAAAATAATATTAAAGGGGTGCTCTCCGAAGAATATAACACCTACATAAAAGAAAGAGCATGAATGATATGCAAGTACATAGGTGAAAAATGCATTTTTGGATTTTTTGTTTAAACTTGTACGTAACGTATTTTTTTTTTAGCTTGATACTTAGCCTAGCTATAAGTAATATGAAATGAAAATATACTTGTTGCGCTAGTGTTTTTTTTTTCAAATAAATACTTAAGTACAAATTTTTACCAATAAAATATAAATTGGCCATTCCATTTTGACTGGTGGGACATTTTACTCCAGAATGTGATCAATTTTGAATTATAACTATGTCGTCAGAACTTATACAACAGCGAATGATATTTTTTAACAGAACGATAACTAAAGTATAAAATTGCTTTAACAAAAATACCAAACGATTTCTAAGTTTTATGTAACTATCATTTGAATGAATGTGATTGGTGGGACACTGACGAGAACCCTATTTTGCCCTTGTGCACTCAAAAAAGAATTTTAGCCAAAGCACTTAATCTTCACGAACGATGTTTTTGTGTTTTAAAATATGAATTATACGTTTTCGCTTTCAATAAAAATGATGTTTATATAAACTTCGTAGAAATATTAAAAAATATCTATAATTTTGACTGGTGGGACATTCCCTTGTGACTAGTGTAAATGAATTATGCGTGAAATAAAAGTTTCCGTAGACAAAAATTACAACTTCTCTTGATTTTTTTTATATTTTCAAACAAATGAATGAAATGCTATCATTTAAAAAGAGGTTACTACAGAAATAGAGATAATTAGGGCATATTTAAATTCATGTCGTTTTCCTCTTCTCAATGGAGTTCGCCAAAAGAAACAGTTTTTATTTGAAGCACCTATGATTAGGAAAAATATATAGCAAAAATCTGGTATACTATTTTGAACTGAAATTCTAAAAATCTGACAGCGGATTCAAAATCAGCGACCTCCAAAACCTCCTTAAATAAAAGTTTTTGATGAAAACAAAAAAAAAAAAAAGGTTGGTGGCCATATTGGGTCCCCCATGTTAAATTGAAAACTCCCAAGCAGCAAGTTTCAAATGAATTTGGTTACTTCTGGACTTCTGACCACCAAATAGTTGTCGCCAAACCATAGTGCAC